TATATCGCCGAAAAAGCAAATGGTACATAATTATATGTCACAAAGAAAATCAGTAAAAAATTTGTTCGTTAGATGCACTGTCTTGGCACGCCTGAAAATGTAGAAGCAGCATGACAAACAGCTGAAAAATGTACATTATACATGATTACAGGTTTAATAAATTGAGAATCAATTCAAAGGAAAAATGTTTTATGTCCATTAAAGATAAATAACGAAGATTGATAAATGTACATACTTGTTCAACTAACAAGTAGCCAATGTATCTCTGAGACGTATAATGAAATAAGACGACAGGAAATGTTTGATTATGGCAAATCTGCATAATAAAATTCGATGACTACTATATTTAGGGTGTGGGTGTGGATTATGAATTTTCTTTTATCTGCGTCCACACCCACCCACATCCTTAAGGGTACCCCCCTCTTTTTTGACCATTTCTGGTTCTCGAAGAGGAAATAGCCGATCCACCTGAAATTTTTACCGTAGTTAGAGAATCTAAAATAAGCTTACACGTATTCGAGGAAAAAAATTTTAAAAAAGGTTTTTGCAATTTCTTTGTGAAAACTCTAGTTTTCCATAGGTCCGCATCAGGCCACAGTACGCCCCCCATTGAATTTCATCCGATTGGGCTGAAAATTTTTTTAGAGATACCTAAGGCTATATCTCAGAGGTAGTTTTGAGCTTTTTCAAAAATCTCGCTTTCTTTCTTTTTTAGCGATAGAAGTACGGTTAGATGCGGATCCAAAATCCGGATCTTGGCGTTCACAATCCTATAGTTCCGAATAGGAAGGTCCAAAATACAAACGACTGATTCTACCTCTAGGGAATACTTCAAAGAATCTGTGGTAAAAATTTCAGCCCGATCGAACAAAGTTCGAGGGAAGTCGTAAGCAGGCCCGATTGAGAAAATTGTAGTTAGTTTTGGGTTACGCCAAATAAAAGAAACAGAATTTTCTTACGATTACTATGAAAAAGAAAAATTTTTTAATTCAGTAACTCTGTAATAGTAAGGTGTTTAGAGTCGAATAATGTGTCTAATTGCACACAACACATGAGACTACCATACCTTATGCCCAACTCGAAATTGAGTTTTTCATCGAAAAAAGAGGGGGGGGGGGATATCCTTAATAAAATTCTTAATGATTCTTGATATTTTTCAAGAGTATCAGTTGTATCGTCTGTCTCTGCAGACAGAGTACCTATTAATCGAGAAGAATCAGCTAAACCTGGATGTCAAGAAGGTAAAGTTTGTTTACGTATTTCAAGTGCTTTATTGTGTAGATTGATAATCACGTATATCAATATATATATTGATGCCATATTATTATATGTAATAGCAAGATCAGGATGATTTGGAGGCAAATGTTGAAGGTCAATTTTTAGAGTTTTATTATAATATTTTAAAGCAATTGATTTTTTGTTAAGTGAATTATAGATACTAGTAATATTGTTATAAGGTTGTTGTTAAAGTTAAATGATTATCTGAAAGAATTTTAAGTTGAATTTGTAAAGCTTTTTTTTCATATTTTACAACAGTTTTAGCTTTTTTCATCTAACTATGAACAGTAGCAAGATTAAAATAAATTATTGCCATATATTTAAATCATCAATAGATAATGTTTGTTTAAATATTTCAAAAGTTTTTCGTAAATAAAATTTTGCTTTTTTTTATATTCTCGTCGATCTGTATAGATAGTACTAATATTATTGAAAGCCATAGCAACATCGATATGATCAGGAGTTAATTATCCTATAAGAAGATGATAATATATCGTTCTGCTTTATCAAGTTCGTTGGCTTTATGAAGAAATTCATCAAATATTAGAAGTGATGATGTCTCACCAATATTTATTTCATAATGCTTTTAATTCTTGATCAGGTTCAGTACTTAGTGTTAATAAAATATGCCAGAAACCATCTAATTTATCACAGGATTCAATTTTAAAAACAGTACCCATTGTAAATAATATTTCATTTTCATCTGAATTTACACTCCAGTTATGAATAGGGTGTGGGTATGGTTGTTTGCTACGATTCATATTCACACAAAAACTACCTTACACCCTATGGAAAATACAGAAAAGAGAACAAGTAATTATCATAAATATACTCCGCAATGTGACTAGCCCCTTCCAACATCTTTGTTGTAGTAAATGAGTTTTTAATACTATATGAACAAAGGTTGAATGTGGTTATAGATGTAAGAAGAGAGCAAAAGTCACACCCTCACTCTACTACGAAGATATAGATCTCTGTTAGATTAATCTGTGAACCGAATTCAATTGACATCATCCAATGCATGAAACTTTTGAATAATAAAGACTTCAGAGACACAAGAAAATTAATATTTTTTGAAAGACTATAAAAATGTAATCGATGAAAACCGCACCCGTTCATGTAAATGCACAATCAAATAATCACTATCATTATTTTTGATTAAAAATCTGAAAAAAATTGTATTACATCTCTTTTAATATATCGAGAAGATGAAGGCGATTCAACATGTGTTGAGAAAAATGCAAGTAAATTAAAATGTTTCTAGTCAATATTATAGACTATTTATTGTTCAATAAATAATCATAAACTTTTGCGACTGCACATTGATTTAATGGAGATAATGTTGAAACTCTCAATAGATTTTAGTCGAAAGACGTACTTCGTTTTTTATGTAAATCATTCATTTTGTTGTGGTTGTCTGAAATAAAACCTTCTCTTATGAAATTCTTAAAAATTGAATTCTATTTATTTAAGATACAGTTGTTAAAACTTTCCCTGCCGATTTAGACTGCATTTTAAGGCCCTCCTCAAAAAAGTCACTTTTCGTCAGAATCATGGAAATTGAGATAAATACATAGGGGTATAGCCTGTCATTTGTCCTTATATAAACGATAAAAATTTTTCTTCGATACCTCATTTTTTTTCCAAAAACTTTAAAGATTTTTGACAACCTCTATTCGAAAAACCAGCAGTTTTTGAAAAAATTCAAAATTTTTTTTTCTTTTTCTTCTCGAAGTTGTAGTCGAACGATGCAGCCCCCAAAAAAGTCAATTATAATCCGATATAAAGTCAAACATTTTTTTTTTGTTTGAAAGAGCATCAAAAACTGCAGCGCCTATCAGAGCCCTTTTTTTGATAAAGCTTTCTTATTGTTATATTGAAAAGCGATTTTATAATATAAGCAAGATTTTTTTGAGGGATTGAATTTGTGAAGCCTTTTTTTCTTATTAAAGACAAAAATAAAAAAAGGGCCCTAATACGCACCGCATCCTGACATGCCCTTTCAAATGAAAAAACAATGAACCATATTGAATGAATACCCATAGAGATTTTTAGGGGCCACGATAAGCTATTTTTCGACCCTTGTTTGGTTCGTATCTATCTCAGACATTAGGATAGGAGGCTGAAAATTTTATCATAGACGTCCTTTTACACCCCCAATATGTCCTCAAAGTTTCATATCATCTTGCTGTTCCTGAGCTGAGATCGATTTTTGAGGGGGGGGGGGTGGGTGGGCTTAACCAGCTTCTTCCATTTATACGGCGAATTCTTTAAAAAACTAATTCCTTGATTTCGTAGACAAACGACCTGTATTGATTTATGATTTTTCTTTGATATAGAAAAATATTTGTATTTCATTTTTAGATTGAACAACTTTCAACTATGCTTGAATTTTCAGTGTAAGCGCAATTTCGTTGCAAGTTTGGATGTCAAAATGAATGCTATATACAAGAGGGTGTGAGTGTGAGTGTGGAAGTGAGAAAAAGGAAAAGTTATAATTAACATTCTCTCGTATATTTTGTATTAGTGTCTCATTTGTTAAGCTTTAAAGAAACAAATAAAATATGCGGGTTATAATTGTATATAAACGTTTGCACAATCTGTGACACCCAGAGGGGGAAGGGAGGAGCAAGCATTGCTAAGATGTCATAATAATCAATTACAATATCATGAATAATCAAATATAGATATATGATACTTATATCTTCCTATTCCTTAGCTTTTACGAATTCTATATTTGCATATCAATACACGATAGAATCTTTTATCTGATTTCAGTGTTGAAAAAGTTAATTTTATCGGATCTAAACCATTATCTATTGATGTTTTCTTTTTTGAAGTTCTCTTTCGATGTGTATAAGTATCTGTAATGGTCTGGATGTGGGTGTGTTCACATAGTACTAACTCTACACCCACATCCATACCCTCAAGGTCACTTTGAATCACCTCAGAAAATAACAATCCATTTAAATGAGCCCCAAATATTTAACTAACATTATGTAATCAGTTCATATATCCTATAGAATCTAGCATATGTACCAAAATATCGTTTGACTAAGCTTTATCAACGATGGTATTAGCTACATTGCCGTAAACGAACTATATTTTCCTCTATCCCTATTTTCATCGACAACATTATTTTTTTTTTGTTGGCCGAGTGTTCATCAAACAAAAAGCAAAGATAGTCAGTTAGGTGTATATACACGCGATTAACAATACAAGATAGTCTGAAAAAAAAGAACCAGTTGGACTAGTCCGTTTATCCACTATCCTAGTCAGAGTTAATCTTAGTCCAGATATAAATTGCCACGTTAAACATTTCTCGCATAGCATTGGATCTCTATCTCTTCCTTGTTGGCTTATGTAAGTGAACATCTGCTATTTGAAATAAAGACTAGGCTTTTATAATATTTAGGATATAAGCAATAAAAAATAAATCCTAACTTATGCATTATCATGTATGAAATCGATTTAATCAGTTCTTTTCTCGACGAGGGAAGAAATCAAAATTTAACATTCTTATTTTCAGAATAAGCAGAATTTTTTAAGAATCTACATCAAATTATAGAGATAATAAATTTTGAAATTTCGATTTTCATTTTTATCAAAATGAAAAATTTTTGCAAAGAAACATAAAACATTAGAAAGCAACTATCGAGTAACAAAAACTATGATATAGGTGTTTTTTTCTTATTTCTAGATTAAAAGTTATTGACAAAAATATGTCTGCGAATAATAATCAAACTCAAAATTTAAAAATATTAAAATTACAATTACAAATTGAGCGGGAAAAAACCAAACAAATACGAATACAAGAAAAAGAAGCAACCAAACGAAAAAGACTTGAAGAAAAAGAAGCGACCAAACGAATAAAACTCAAAGAAAAAGAAGAAACCAAACGAAAACAAATAAATGAAGAAGAATTTACCAAACGCATGAAACCAGAACTCGTACTATCATTATCAAAGGCGAAGAATTCGGCACCAGCGCCAAATTCTATATCAACAAACGAAGGCACGGCTAGTTCATCTTCTTCTTCATCTGATTCTTCCGATGATTCGGAAGAGTGTTAGTCATGTATTAATTTCCAGAGACAATTTGCTTGTGAAAATGTAACCTTCTCATCGTTACATATATTCACTTATTGATTTGCTCAATGTTTTATGTATCCCAACAGCATTTTTTTAATTTCTTGCTATATGTTTGTTCTTCTTCTTCATCATTAAATACTTGCTATTTTGTTTCTTTACCCTAGTTCTCTCTCTGAGGGTGTGTGTGTAGATGTGCGTGCGCATGTGAATGTGTGTGTGGAAGAGTATAAAACGATCTAATCTCATCTACAACTACACTCACATCCCAATTCATTCGACCAGTATTTCGAGGGGAAGTTCAGTTAAAATCATCTTTCATGTGAAATCTAATAGCCTTTTGTCATTACTAAACCATTCGATTTGATTTACTTGAATTAGCATCCATCTTATATTACTTGTTTTGATGATACTAACTAAACAAAACGAACTGTATATTGCCAATTGTCTGTCGAAATAAAAATCATAGCTAAAATGCTACTAAAATAATCTTTATTGATCATTTTAATAATTTATATTTCATCAATAGATGAATAACACATATCTTGGGTGTGAGTATGATGTGGATGTGGATGGGTTTGAGAGTGTGAGTGTGGGTGTGGCGGTGGCGGTGTGGGCTGTAGATGTGAGTGTGTGGGTAGGTGTGGGTGTGAGAGTGATCTTTAATAAAGTCCACAGCCACAGTCATAGCCACACCCAACATCCCACACCCACACCCGCACCCGTCCACATCGCACACTCACAGCCACCCGCGCCCACACCCACATCCACCCTTAGTCTCTGTATTCTAATTGATGTCAAAAATTTTTTGACATTAACCTAGAAAAAAGGGTCTAAATAGATGAGGTCCTATAATGAGTATGTTTCCTATTGGTTCCATGAGTCATCAAATTATGAATGTACATGCAGCATATGGGTGTGGGTGGGGTGTGGGTGTGGGGTGTGGCTGGGTGTGGGTGGGTGTGTGGCTGGGTGTATGTGTGGGTGTGGGTGGGTGTGGGCGGGGTGTGGGTGTGGGGTGTGGCTGGGTGTGGGTGGGTGTGTGGCTGGGTGTATGTGTGGGTGTGGGTG